GGTGGTTGCACAGGCATCTGCGGAACGGGCGGCGGGATTATGTTAGACCCGTTTTCTGGAAACTCTCATTTTCTCACAACCTGCAAAGAATCGTCTCTTTCTTTCCTTGCTTCGATCTGGGCTCCACACGATCCCTCTCAACACGATCCCATGAGCTTGGCTGCAATTCCCGGGTCATACACCATTTCTTGTCGTACTTCTTCCCTCAATCTCTCATTTATCGGGCCTAAACAACTCCTCGAATTTTGTAAGCTGCTGGTCGGCCAAGGCATATATCTCGTGACCTTTAGGGTTATACATCATGGCATTGTTGAAAGTCAACCGCACATCAGCAGCAAAATCAAGAGGCGAATCGTAAAAGTTCTTCGCCAGCCTCGATTTCACAGTACCCAGATCCATCGGGTTTTTTATTATGTCTAGATAATCATGCAAACCCAATCCCACCACATCCACCGGAGAATTGAAAATATACCCATGTTTGTGCTTCATCAATTTCGTCAAAATCTGACCACACATCTTCATCAAATTGCCACTTTCGGGATTCAATCTCTTCAATTCCTTGCTGAAATTTGGCGGCAATGGACGCTTGCTACCAGTAACTTTCTTGATTCCGCTACCTTTCTTCAGGGGAAAATTGCTAGAGCTGGATCTGACATGCAAGTCATGCGACTCGATTCGATTCTTCAATTTCCGAATCTGCTCAAGCTCCACGATCAACTGATTTTTGAGCTCGATCAGTTCCTTCTTCGAATACGAAGCGATTTTGAAGCTTACGTATGCACCTCCGCTGAAATCAATGTTAGGTTTCCGGTTGATCGAGGATGCATCGTCAGATGCAGCCGATTGCGTCACAGCCGGTGATTCATCTACGTCGTCCGCTGCGTGCTGAAATTGCCTCTTCTTGCTGTTGCCGAATCTATGATTAGGGTTAGGGTTTGATTTCGAAAATGGAACTTTGCCCATGAATTTCGCGCCGCCACCGCTTCTCGGTTGCGTCCAATCAGGTTCGTTCTGATGGTTCGCTAACACTGCCGATGCCATTAACAATGGTCGGAAATGAACCCGGCCGGGTCGGTTCCGGCCAAGCCCCCGCGATATTTCTCAGCTTTGATAGCCAAAACAACGACGATTCAGCTAGATAGTGGACCCACGCGCCACCAAAACTATCCACGCGCCACCAGAAAAACGTGCTGGAAGGAAGAATTAATCGAAGGAGAGAATGAGATGTGAGTTTGGGACTTTACCCTAAACGAGAGCGAGGAACGAGAGATGGCTAGGGTCGGTTCTTAAAGGCGATGAGATCTGCCCCGTGAAATTTCGGGCAACATTATTGCCGTTGATTTATATTAGCCGGTTGATCGAGCCGTTGATTTGTCTTGATACTACCCGAGAGAGCTGACCGAGTTACCTGGCATGGACGGCTGGGATTTGAAGGTTTGAACACGTGGAACAACAGTAAGCTTTAGATCGAAAGTGAGATTTGGTTTTGAGTTTGCAGGTGAATTTGGGCTGCATCTGGCGTGAATTTAGGGTTTCCTGGGAGGTGGGGTCCAGTGGCGCTGACGTGGACGGAAAGTTAATTGGGTAGTCGTTCGTAAGCGGGAAGCTACCACGCATACGGTGGGGGAACGCGGGAGTGGCGCATGGAAAATACAGGTTCAGAGGAAGGGCAATACGGTAAATTAATAAAAGCAATGAGATGATGGAACCATAAAATTACTCGCCTCGTGAAATCATCAAAGATGACCACTTTCTAACCAATAGAATTTTGCCACGTGTCAAAGCGATTATACGAACAACTAAAAACATACCGGGCTTAAACTGACATTTTATCCATGGATACCATTTGGAAATAAACACGACTTAGTAGTGATAAAAATACGATAATCTATTATCTATGTATTATACTATATACACAAAAAAATTAAAAATTACCACATTATATTTTTTTTTATATTTTTAAAATATTTCTCCAAATAAAATTAATATATTATGATATCTCTTTTTAAAATAAAATTTTGTTTTTATTTGATAAAAATTTAATTAATCATATAATTAATTTCAATGAACTAGAACATTTTATCTTATTTAATTAAAAAATGCTGATGGTTATTACTACTCCTCTATCATAGTTTAAATATATATATGATAATTATTATTAATCTTCAACTAAAATAATTAAAACAATAACATTTATTATAACTATCTATTTAAATTTTTAAATATAAAATAGATTTTAATTTTTAGTTAATTATAAATGTATATATAATAATTATCTAATTAAACTTTTAGTTGATTATAAATTTTAAGATTATATATCATCTAACTTTTTCATTATTTATTAATTTCTCCCACTTTATTTATTTAAAGATAATTCTTTTATATTTTTATTAGAAATATTTTCATTTCTATAAATTTTTTGCTCACATAAAATAGTATTTAGATTATTTTATATAATTTTAAATTTTTTAAAAAATTATACCATGTAGATAGCATAAACTAAAAGTTTAGTTATTACTGAAAGGAGCATTAAAAATAAAACGGTTCTACAAACTATAAATTAACTAAAGTATTTACTTGTATTTTATTTCTTAGATGTGTTTCAAAAAATATTTAAATTTTTATTTAGTTTTCGTAAATAGAGCAATAATATAAAATTAATTTAGAATAAAAATAAAATTTGACCAGTTTAATGTCTATTTTTTGAAGTTTCATATTTTCGTGTGATCTGTTAAAAAATTATAATATTAACTTCTTTTTTCTATACTAAGTAAATTGTCAAAGAAACATAATTTTTTTTTAATTTAACTAGTCTTTCATATATATATTTATATATATTATCATATATATATATATATATATTATTTTACAACTTAGTGATTTCAAAATCAATAGTTAAAAAGACAAAAAGCCATATGAAAAAAATTGAGTCTTGTATATTTGAGAGATAGAGAAGTAAAGTGTAATGACCCAAAATATAAAAAGAAATAAATTATAAATTGAATGCGGAAGCGAAATAATAGCATTAATGTTTACATTCCTTACACAATAATTTAGAATATCTAATATGGCTACGGGAATGATCATTCTAAAAAAAATAAAAAATCAAAGAAATAAATAGAAAGTAAACAACTGGACATTCTATTCGCAATCCTCTTGTGGATCGAGATCTGAATCTTGATTCTCTTTATCTAAAATGATTAATGAAAGAGTGAGCTACATTAGCACAGTAAGAATATCACACTACTCACCGATACAGAAATGAAAGTTGGTAAAAATCATGAAAATAACTAATGGAGTTCTTAATTTAAGTAAATTCATTTATCATAAGTAAAATAATTTATTGTACACTTAGTGTAACGAAAATTCTAAAACTGACTTATAAAAACAATAACACAAACAATATCGTAATCCCATATTCAATTAACTAAAACAACAACTTTAACTTTTATCTGCCTATGGTATCTATGGGGGTGCATAGGAATGTCCCTACTCCGCGTGAACCCTTATTCAATATTATAAACTAACCGGCCGTCCCCACATTTCGTCCAGTATGAGCGTTAAAAATATCATCCCTCAATATCCCATCTGGTATAAGGGTGAAACAGGCTGTCTCCATACTCCGTCCTATATGAGCGTCAAAATACCAATCCTTGATACCTCGTTCGATATAAAGCAATGTTCACGGTAGGGTTTCCTATGCACCCAATTCGTCCACCATCTCTTAGGATATCTAGTAAGACTATCATTCATTCATTCACTTAATCAAACAATTATCCGTTTACATTTAATTTACAGTTTCATAATTTAACTATAAATCACGCGAAATAAGCAATACATGCAAAGGAAACACAATTGAACTATCTTACCAACTTCAGCATATTATCATGCATTTAAAACTGTAAAATCAATCAACTAGTTAAAATAGGATAAACAGTGATAAATAACAGGTTCCGCCTCCATTAGTAATATGTGATTAATTATTGATATTTTTTAAATTGTACAAAATACCACATTATTTTAATTAAACTTTAATTCCATAATAAGGAATAAGGTGATGGATTCTTATGCGAATCGGTATCCGAATACTAAATTTTTAACTGCATCTACTGGCGGTCCCCAAATTCCCTGAATTTTTCTTCGAAGATTAAAACACGCTCCAAATAACTAGAAATACCCCAAAAAATTCAAAACCAGTGTTAAAACTCTTTTTTGGCCAATTTTAGAATTCCGGCACGGTGGTACCACCACCCGCGATGGCGGTTTACCTCAGACTGGCCGTTTTCGACTGATTTTATACTCATCCCTATGAGAAAACACGTTAAGGGGCCTCGGTTAGCCGAAAAAAGTCGAAAAACAGAAACTTACCGGCAGTAGGGTATTCTAGTGTAATGGCTCCACCAGCTCACCTTCGCGGTTGAGCGTTTTCCTTCAGTCAACCTGTGAGAAACAGAATAGTGAATACAATGGTGGAAAAATCGTATGAAATGGGAATCGGAAAAGGCCTCATCGGAGGTAATATTTTATTTTTTTCTGCGGCGGTGCCACTGGGCTTTACTCGCGGTTTTTGCCTCATCTGCCGTTTCTTTTGCTCTGGTTTGGCCATGGGATTATTCAAAATCAAATTTCAAGCAAATAGAAATTTTTTTACCTTTTTTGGCGGTCGGAGATGGCTCTGACGTGGCAGCGGGCGGCAGTCGGCTCCCTTATCCGACGACTAGTTCTTATTCTCCATCAGGGGGTTGGCAGCTAGAATAAGGTTCGGTATGAAGTGAGA